AAAAAAAAAAAATTAGAAAACCGAGCTTCCCATTTGGAATGTTATGGATTTCAAAGGTAGAAGATTGTTTTCTGTGGTTAAATGACATTGAGTCAGTTCTGACTCCTACTGACCCAGTAAAGAGTTTCCTAGAAGTGGTTAGTGGGTTTAAACCACTGACCTAATGATTAGCAGTTCAGTGCTTTTCCTACAGCACAACATCAGGACTCCAAGATGTATGATATTGCTGCTGTTAATTTAGTCCGACTCATAGTGATCTTGTATAGGGCCTTCTGAGGTTTGTGAATCTTTGTGGTAACAGAAAACTTCATACATCTTCTGCAGAGTGGCTGGTGGACTTAAATAGTGGACCTTTTAGTTTGCAGTTCAGTGTTTATCTTACATAGCCTCCATGCTCCCAAGACATAAGATAGCTTCCTGAAATTAGTTTTAGCTCATCATATTTCCTAATTCTAAAAATATTTTTTATATAGTTTCCCTTTCTTTTTTGATGAAACAGACTTTATCCAACAGTTCTTAATCACAGCATGATACACAATTGTCAATGGCATAGCCATAAAATGTGTATTGCATGATGCACAATCTTGTACTGGATTTTACGTTGAATGTAGCTAGCCAGATATAGTCTTGCTGCAAGACAGAAAATATAAAGCCAACATGTGAGTTCTAAGTATGTCTGTATATATATATTATGTTTTAGTTTTGTTTTTTTCCAAATAATTTCAGATCTGGTATTTGACATATATGAAGGTCAGATCACTGCTCTCCTTGGTCACAGTGGAGCTGGGAAAACCACATTGTTAAACATACTCAGTGGACTGTCGGTTCCAACATCAGGTGAGGGGATAATGGCCCAAAGACAAGTACATGGTCAAATGAATCAAGTTAATTTACATTTTGTTAACTATTAATCATCCGCAGGTATATAAGAACAAAGTTTGAAGAATTTTTTAAACTTATTCTTTGATAAGATTCTGTCCTACTTATTTTGGAAGTTGTTGCTTGTGATTTAATTAATTCATGACAAATAGCTGTTACATACAATAAGACTGACAGAGACCAGCTATGTATGAAAAGAGATGCTTGCAAATGGACGTTTCATTCTAGGGAAATAGTGCGGAATATGGAAAAATCGTGTTTGTGTACATGTGTTGTTTGCTCTCTTGTGATAAATAAAAAGATGCACAGTTGTTTCTCTGAAGGCTATAGAAGAATACTGAACAAATCGCATGAAATACACAGAATCCTACAGACACAGACCTTGGGAAAAAGAAACTTTTAAGCTAAACATCTACCATCTGTTTCCTCAAAGTGAGCAAAGTCCTTGGGAAAACAAAAAGGGACATTTTTAAGCAATGTATGACGTTGGTTTTCAAGGGTACAGTTAATAACCAGAGACAGACATCTTAAAGTGTTGTCCAGCCTTATGGGTGTGTGTGCATGTGTGTGTTCATTTTAGCGCAGCTTTCTGCCTCTTGGGTTACTAACCAGCATTCCAGCTAGAAGAGATATCATTGTCATCATTATCTTGAAGTTTTTAATTCATCAGTTGTGTAGTCATTGTAGGACAATCTGTTTAGACAAATCTGATGACTGACTTACACTAGTTTCTGTTTTTAAATATCTTGATGGAAGCATGCTATGTTGTCCTGATGCTACCTCTCCCCTCTGCTCATAGGTTCTGTCTCCATCTACAACCACGCTCTCTCAGAAATGACTGACTTGG